AACTTGGTACACATCTTTATAAAATTTACAAGTCCTATTAGCTTGCTATGTTTTTGTAACTGACATAAAATAATTAAACCAAGTTACTTCTATTTAACTTATAATTAATACATTCAGTTTAGAAATATAAAAAATGATAATCGATGAGGAAAACTTCGGTATAATACATTCAGTTGGGAGGTATATGACATGAAATGACATTTAAAAAGTCTTAAATTATTGGATTTTGGGCGTGGCATACATTTTGTTTTCATCAAGTATATAATAAAATTATAAAATTAATAAAGGTAATAACAAAACGGCATTATTGAGCGGTGATCTTTTGCACAGGTCACATAAAAGAATAATTAAAGGTTAATTCATTAATTGTGATATGTTGGTATAAAAGTATAAAATTAAGACTTTTAAAGACAAGATGCACATATGCTGGTATCTAAGGTCAACTGTGCTTAAGAAGTACATGATGTAAACACAAAGAATGTGGGGTATCATACCCTAGCGGTAGAGCACTACCATGCTAACTTAGGGGCCTACTGGATCCGAATGTATTTATAAGAGATTATTAGTCCCCCAAAATATATGAATAGGCTACGGAATGATTTTGCCGATACCTGCTTTTAGAATGCGTCCTACGGAATTAAAAAATGTTAGGAACGATCAGCGTCACTTTGTTTTTTTTTAACTAAAAACCCCTTGTAATAGTAGTAGGCATAATACTTATTATTCACGCACAGCTAGTTCCATAGAATTTATTACATTTATAAGCCTATATGAAATTTATAAAAATACCATCGTTAAGTTCTTTAAAATGATACCTTGTTTTTAAACAGCTATACTCTAGAGTTGTCTATAGGCTACTATTTCAGAATAATACAAAATAGTAAATAAATAGGCCTACTATTTTTCTTTAATTCAATGGACACGAGCCTGTAGGTATTCGAGAGGTCCATTAAATATTTTTTAAAATCATACACGACATAGTTAAGATTAATATGGTTATAAAATCCTGTCTGGGTTTTTTCAGACTTTACTAAAGATTGGATGTATTTGATGTTTTTAATATTTTGGGTAACTAAATAAAAATGTAAAAAGCAAATATTATTTGGTTTTCACGTGTAATGGCGACATTAACAATGGCAACCCGCTATTCGATAAATTTTATTGTACACATTGTAAGCGAAATAAAAGGAAAACTAGATCATGGGGTTTAAGTTTGCATTGTTATTTAAAAACTTTATCTGCAAAGTTTTGTAAACAAATAGTTATCGATCATGGAGTTCCTGTACAGCCAATCAATATTTGTCTTACGAAAGTAAAACATCCAGTTATAACTTAGGCTTGATGAAAATAAATAGAAATGTACTACTTTAAACTCAACAAATTATTTTCAAGTTCTCTGGATTTGCAACTTTAAACAAATTAAAGCATTGAATGATTCTATTTCTAAAAATATAAAATTTCTTAATTAATTTTAGGCTTAGGGCCTAGTTTATTTTAATTTTTACGGTCCTAAAACTAAAAAAGTATGTTTTTATTCCATGTCAACAACATTAATGACATTATGTAATAGTTTTTCTCACTAAATCTAGAATTTACGCAATTATCAATTTAAACATGACCACTGAATAAAAGACATCCATATTTAATCCATTAGGCACTAACTTTGGAGTTTTTAGTTCGTTTTAAACTAAATTACTTAATTTAATATTTATTGTCAATCGCTGCCATGTCCAACACATCTCTCCATGACAACTCTTCTTAAGCTTGAAGCTAAAGAAAACCACAAATCAAGTTAGACTTTTTAAGTGGCCATGCACAAGAGTTCCTCACTAGTGATCACCAAATAGTGGTCACGTGGTTTTTTTTTCAAAAAAAATTTGGTTGTCATTTTTTCGGCTGGTCTCATAAAAAAAATGGTTGACGATATTTGATTTATTTTTTCATAGACTGATAAAACTAATAATGCTTTAGTATGGAAATCAATTTTGTAATATGGAAATCGATATTTAAAAAGTTCTAGTATTTTTGATGAAACCAACTTTTAAATTTAGCCTTCATTCTCCAATGCAAATTTTAAAATGCTTTTCTGGCATATATAGCCCTGCCACCTATAGCTTGTTGTTATAACGTGAAATCCCGCCATTTTGCGCGTGGTAAACATTTTAAAAACTAATTAGTAGAAGGTCTCTGGAATTTGGCCGAAAAATCGTCGGAAGTCAAGCGTCCGGTCCGGGCGCCATATTGTTGTTAGCAACCGACCACGCCTCCAAGTTAGCGAGTAATACTATTATGTAATGATTCTCATCAAATAGCCCGCATCCATTTTAGGGTAAAAATTTAGAGAAAACCCTTGATATTTCATAGTATCCGCCGCCAACCAATCAAGCGCGCGCTTTCAACGCGTTTTGGTTGGCGGCTGACGTCACGATGACGTCACGCGACCCGTAAACACGGCGTTTTTGGAGCTAAAAAGGGCCGAAAAAGCCATTTTTTCTACGTGTAGTTCGGATTTTTTTACGTTTTTTAAAATGGGCCCGAAAATGACCCTTTTTAGAAATGGACATAGCCATTTTTTCGAAGAATTAATTAAAAAAAGGGCTGTTTTGAGCTATGTTTCGATGTAAACAAAGGCCCATGTCAACACGTGTCAAACCACGTGAAGGCACCCGATCGACGATTTCGGTCACGCATGAGTGGTTTTCGTACGTTCTCGTGAACTAAATACCAGTTTCTTGACAACAAATTGGAAAACGACAATTTCGTGAAAATAACGACCCTAGAGGAATGGCTTTTGAAGATTATTAAATAAAAATCGATGTATTGGCTACATGTGTTGATTCTAAAGTTGTCTATAATTGACTAGTAGGGCATGCTGAAACAACGGCCTTAGGGCGCCGTGTAGTGTGTAGTTTCGCTAAATGTAAATTATTCAGTCCGGCCGCAGATCGACCGCAAACTGTTAAATTGGTTGAATGTGAAAAGCATACTACTTACAAATTACTTTTGAATATTCACATCACACAAAATAATCCCAAAGAAAGCACAAAATAAAATCCGTTAGAAAAGCATAACCATGAAATTTGAAAACCACAGTATGTCAACCTTAACCAGCCATCTTTGGCTCGATCTAGAGGTCATTCTTTAGCCTACACACGTGCCTTGCCAATAAATTTAGTTTCTGACGGTACACGACATTTAGATCAATATATTAATTAACAAACTAACTGAATTCCAACATACTATCACTCTAATCCTAAAATGAAACAGAATTTGAAGCACAATGATCTAACGAATAAATCCCACTCTAAGTGTCGCAGCTTTAATCCTGGATACAACCGTAGTGTGTAGTCGTGTTGTGAGTAAACTTGCACGAGATAAAACACCGACCTAGACCTTCCTGATGTTGTGTATGGCCCCAAAGTGAAATGCTGGGAGTAGGGGAGGGGAATTTAACACCAGAATATTTTTTTTTTCAGTAGTTACGTCACCAGTAGTTCACGCATCCTAACGGGGTTGAAAGTGTAACTTTATATTCAACTAGGCAAACGGTGGAGGGTGGTGTCTTTCTAGTAGAAGAATACGGGGAAGCCGGCATTTGAAGCCGGCATTTGATTATTGTCATTGCTATTGAGTACAACCCTTTATTCTAGTTTAATGCACGACTAGGCTACTCATTACGAAATCTAAAAAATGTAGTTGTGCTACCATGCAAAAGTAGCCTAATATTTCTACTGAATGGGGTAGGTATTTGACTTTGTTTTTTTTAAATGCAGATACCATTAGCCTAAACATATTTGGATGCACATTTTAGTTATATCGTAAGGATTAATTTTATAATACAATGCATATATTCTGGCAGTCCTTCAAGTATTAATAGTTATTGCCTATTGGACTATTCATAACTTGTATTTCAAAGATTTATAATGAGTGGGATGCACTCGATGTTTTAAGTGCTACATTCGGTAGCTGTTACTTTGTGTATGACAGCATCCCAATAGTTCACTGTTAATTGTTAATAATGTAAACTGAGCTTGACGAGATTCCCATCGCCAAGCAATCGTATGATAGACCCAGCAAGCATCACTCGTTAAATTAGACATCATGGCTATACCAGTCTTTGATTTTCATTACTGCCTTGAAACGCGTAGTTCTTGGTTTAAAAAAAACAAACTCCCCCCCCCCCATCCCTTCCTGCTTGCGCCGACGTCATCATAGGCCAATACCACGGTGCATTTTTTTTTTCACCGAGTATAACACACACCTCTCTCCCCCTCACAGCAAGCGCCAACAACGGTCACCCAAGGCCCACGGCCAATATCACTTACCACGGTGGGTTTTTTTTCAATGAGTATATACCGTACACACCCTCCGCCTTACAGCATACCGCTAGTCTTTACAAACGGGGTTAAAAGTTTAACTTTGAGTTCAAGAAGGGGACAGGGTGGTATTGAAACAACGATGTTCTTTAATATGTTTAATAGTACAAATACATAGTAAAAAATTATACTTACCTACTTCTATAGCATCATACATAATTTTATAATTAGCAAATTAATTAATTAATTAATTAAATATATCTAATGATAATGAAGGGAGATAGTTTATTTTGGTTAAGGCACGACACACAACACTATGCGTGCGTGGTATGTGGCCTGACCGACCGAAAGGAGATTGTTTATATTATTGTTTTGAGTTTATATTTAACTCAATGCAACGAGCCCGCCGGTTGGTTGAGGCCACGCCGGGGGGACGATCTGTCCGGGATTCAAAGGGTCGATTCTAAATATCATCCAAAATTTTTAGTAGGCCCTAATCCTAATTTTAATTTTACAAGACTAGATCTAGATTCTAGTAATAGTTTCTAGATCTAGATCTAGAATTCTAGATCTAGTTTATTTATAAGTTTAGAGGCCCAAACATTTTTAGTATTTTTAGGAGGCTTTATGTTTTAAAATTTACATTACTAAAATTTACAATGTTTCAAAGTTTCATTCATGTACCTGTTTTTAAACAATTGTATTAAAACTTTTCAGTAATAAAGACTAGCGATGTTTTCATCAGATGCAACAATGCTCATTTACTTTAGCAGCCATCTTGTTTGAGATTTTTCAGGCTCAGAGATTCAGGGGAAGCCACTCTATTTTACGGGTGTTGGGAAATTGCGAGACGCGAAAAGCCTTTATAGCCCTCTCTCTTCTTCGCAATCGCATTAAAAAATAAACCGGGAGTGATCTCCCCTAAACTTTCTCGAATATTCTTATATAAAATAACAGGGGATGGGAACTCGGACATGATTTTTAATCCATTTTAAATACTTAAAGTTTTAAAAATAGAATAAAATCTCGTAGACAAATTAATTGCACACCAAGTGAACGCCAAATAAAAAAGCGCATAATAGTGCGCAATATTATTATTACTTTTAAAATTTACATTAGTTTTTTGAGAAATCGGAAGTAGCGTAAAGTACTACTTCCAGTCAACGGAAATGACTCAAAATTTAATAGAAGGTAGAGAATTAGATCTTTTACTTACATATGAAATTTCATTTACCTATCTGAAATAGTACTCAAGTTATAGGCTTTTGAAAAATTCAAAGTAGGAAAAGTACCACTTCCGGTTATCGGAAATCGCTCAAAAGTTGATACGGATCTACGATTTTGATAAATTACTTATATATGAAATTTCATCAACCTAGCTGTAACGGTACTCAAGTTATCGTGTTTACACACGGACAGACAGACAGACACACAGACAGACACACAGACATACGGACAAGATTGCAAAATTATGTTTTTCCGTATCAGTGAGGTGTGAAACGTCGAGATTTGTAAAAATCTCGATTTTATTTTTTGCACGATTACAAGACTTTCTCTATACTTCGTTTATACGAGAAAGTAAAAATTGCTAATGTGGTCGGGGTCAGTATCGTACGCGGGGGGGGGGGGGGGGGGGCAGGAGGAGCGGCCGCTCCCCCTCTGGCCATTTTCAGCAAAGTGGAGCCTTTTTGGAAACTTTTTAAACTCAAAGTTTTAAACAATGATTTTTGTTAAAAAAATATTTTTGGTCGGCACATCTATGTAAATCACAAGATTTCTTTTCATGCAGCAATTAAGCATTATTGTACTAGTCTAGTAGTGTCTACGTTTACACAACAAGTATTAACAGCTGCATCATTTCGCCATTCTAAAAATAACAATTACGATGCAATGCGATGTTTAAAAAACATTTACGGTTGGTACCACTTGACAAGAGGGGTGTTAAGTTTGAATCCACGGTATAATGTATTTGCTTACGAATAATTGAATTAGAAAATGTTATACATAAAACTTCACACATAATTACTTTATATATACAGTTTGAATCGTGTGATTAATTTTTAAAAAATTACAGAAATACAGAAACAAATACAACTGATGTGGTACCTCTATTTAAATTTACTTATGGGCAAACTGCGTAGCGGTGGGGAAATTTTGACAAAGCCAACAACGTCATCACGATTAAGTAGTAGTATTATGACAGTTTGGGCGATAGTGATTACGACTACAAATTATATGAAACAGCATCAACCAGTGGCAAAGGCGGGGGGGGGGGGGGGGGTAGGGGGTTATAACCCCTCCCCACCCATGGATCCCTCTGGAAAAAAAGTATTGTCATAATACTACTGCTACTTATTTAAATCTATTTCTGAATCAGTATACATGTATAATTGAATATGTATGTTTAGAACAGCCATCTAAAAACTGACGCTATGTTCACTCTGGGTTGGTTATTACCACCCCCCCCCCCCATCACCTCACCACCACTATGTGTAGAGCGACATTAATGTAACACCTAGGTATACACTGGGTTGGATAATTGACCTAAAGTGACCGGACAGTGGTGAATGAAGTCGAACCCCCCCCCCCCCAACCCACACCGAACTGATCTGTTAAGTACATTTGGGAAAACGCGTAATGATGTACCAAAGTACCATACCGCCAGAAACATAGCTTTTGAAAAACTCTGTGAATATTGTTTTTGCAATTACCAATAAAAAGGTGTGTGAGCAATACATACCTTATCATTATGTTCAAAAATGATCTTTAAAGAACACAAAAAGCAGTAGCTAATTAAAAAATGTATGATCTGAACTGCAAAACCAATATATTAGTTAAATGTAGGCTATTATTACGAATATTTTTCTACCAATTAGAAAAGCGTGTTTTTATTCCAACTCTGATTTGAAAAACTTTCATTATGCTGTAATTCTTTAGCATTTATGGTGACGACATATTTAATTCTGATTATTATAGACAAAAAATATGTGTAAACACGAATAGTGTTAAACTACTTTATTACATTCTAAAGTAATTATTGATTTGTTTTGATATTTATAATTAAATGTGTAGATATATACATATTTATATTAAGAGAGTGATTATTTCCCCTATTTCGCTTGTCTTAATTAAGGCCCCAGGAAGGATTATGTAATTTTTTTACAAGAATTACAAAACAGATCGTGTTGCGTTCATTATTTTTTGTTGTAGTGTGTGTATATTTTTTTTTTTGTTTAGAGTGATACATTTTTTGATTTTTCGGCCTACATTGTGTGTTTTTTCTTATTTTTTCAGAGTGCTACTTTCAATTTATTTTACATCAATGCATAGTAATGACATACAGCTAGTAATTTTATATATATATATATAATACAGGTATGTAGAACGTGTCAAAAATTCGGCGCCTTTTTTGCTCTTTTCGCTGCCCCCTACTACGAAAACCTGGATACGCCTCTGGTCGGGGTCAAAAGTGTAACGTTTGATTAAAAAAAGAGAGCGGGTGGTAATTAAACAATGCAGCTGCTTCTGTAATAGTAAAAATAAATTATACAGGAAATTTATAACTGTGATTATTTATCAAGAAATAGAGTGTTTTAATCGTGAACCTGCAGTCAAAATATGGATCTTTTTATGAACTAGATAACCCAGTCCAAAATGAAGTGCTTAAGTGTTGATAATGTTTAATTTACAACAGTAAAGATCTGTTGCTTAAAAGCGAGCACAAAAGCGTAAATATGTGATATAAGTAAAGTTTCCCTTTCAAACCTGACGGTCTAAAGGGCAAGTGAAGTAGAGTTCACTTGTTTCTGTGACCTCGGCATATGAAGAGATAGTGTGGTCAGCACTATGTCCAGCCGCCTTTACTTTCCCTAACGTGAGTTAGGTACCCATCAGAGTTGGGTGGACTCAAGGACGGTTTACTAACTTGAACCCGGATTCTAACTCAAGACTTTAGGGTTAGCAGTACCGCTAGACCACTCCGTCCCAAATGTATGATATACATGATGTTTACAGGATAACGGCATTTTGTTTTGATAACCTACAAGCATACTGTCGGTAGGAATGTACAGCGTGGACCCGTCTCCCCACTCACTAAGTTGGAACAGCCTATAACGGACTCATTTATGGAAGTCATAGATACTGTTTCTTATAATAGATAAACTATTTAAAAAATAAGGCCTGCTGAACAAGAGATGCATACGTTGTATTACTTAAGAGTGCTGGATAAGCTAACTCTACAGAATATTGATGAAGGGGTCCCACTGGCAGGTGTTATATTCAACGAGACCGTTTTGTCGCAAGACTTAGTCTCTACAGAAACCAGATTGTCAGTGGTCCTTTAGACGGGAGCATAAATTGACAGGAGCCTATTTGTCGGGAGCCAAAAGAACGGGAGCCTTTTGTCGGGTGTCTTAATGACGGGTGACGCTTTGTGGAGAAACTAAATGACGGAGCCTATTTGCCGGGAGTCGTAATGACGGGAGCTTATTTGTCTGTAGCCTATATGACGGGGCCCATATGTCACTGGCCCTTTTGACGGGGCTCATAAGTCGGGCCGATTTGTCGGGGTCGTTTTGACGCCGCACCTCATTTTCTATTTGAAATAGTTTTGTAATAATTTCAACAATTGCTCTATTTTACATTTTAACTAGCCGTCCCGGCCAGGCCCTGCTCTGGCTTCTGTGAAAAACCTTTCTGTTAAAGACCATTACCTGTGTGTTTAGTAATCATCATAAAGCCGGCATTGCCCACCCAAACCACAACCAACCAAAACAACAAAACGCAAACATAACGCTAATACAATTACAAATACAAACGAAAACAAAATCCTAACAACAAACCCAACCACAATCACAAATACCAATACAAACACAAAGAAAAAACAAACAAAAAAGCAAACGAAAACAAAAACCTAACAACAAACACAACCACAAACACCATAAGAACACAAAGAAAAAAACAAACGAAAAAGCAAACGAAAACAAACCAAATCCAAACGCAAAACCAACCACAAACACAAATACAAACCCAAAGAAAAAAACACAAATGAAAACGAAAAAAGCTGAATAATCGACTATAGTACCCCGACTTATTCATAGTCTTTTTGCACTTTAAACGAACGTAGGTGCCAAACCAAACGAACTATTATAATACTCCAAGCTTATTCGTAAAATACCTACAACATTTGCACTTGATCAATCCCCGCTAATTATGTAATTATTTTTTTCCCCAACACCAAAACAAAGTAATAAAAAGTAAATTCTTTTCCACTAATGCAATGTTTTATAAAGGGAAGTAATAGTGTTTTCCTAATTTATCAAAGGGAAGTAAGTTCTAAAGGGCTAAATATAAATAATTTTCAGACATAATTAGAATTTTTGTTATTTTTTTTTAAATTGTGTTTAATGAGCATGCCGACAATTATTACTATCAGTTTGAAAAATGAAAATTATTTCCCAACACTTTCAATAGTAATTTTTTAACTCATAAATTTAGACAAATGCGCGCGATAATAGTCTAACACTTTAATCCATCGAAGCATGTCAACGACAAACATACGTATTTTTACATACAGAATTGAGCTTTATATATTAGATACAGATAGTGTTGTAGATAGAACATTTTAAAATATATATATATATATATATATATATATATATATATATATATATATATATATATATATATATATATATATATATATATATATATAATTATATATAGATATTGACATGACAATAATGACATAGGTTTTAGTAATTT